CGCTTTTCAGCAGGGCGCCTCATTGGCCTACAACTACTGGCTGAGCGTGTGGGCTGACGACCCGATTGTTAATGGCACCCAGATCGACACAGACCTGAAACTGACCGTGTTTGGTGCGCTTGGCTTTGTGCAAGGTCAGTTAGAGAGCTCTAGGAATCCTCTCGGCTCAAACTAATGAAGAGTCGACACCGGTTTGTTGACGTTCGACTCTGACGCGATCAAACATCTTTCCCCTCTCTTCAGGTATAGCCATCTTTGGTACGACCGTCGCCATCTCCATCTGCGGCATCATCGCCTCTCGCCACTTGCACATGGACCTGCTGATCAACGTGCTGCGTTCTCCGATGTCTTTCTTTGAGGTCACGCCCAGTGGCAACCTACTCAACCGCTTTGCCAAAGAGATCGACGCCATCGACTGCATGGTCCCCGATGGCTTGAAGATGATGCTGAGCTACGTCTTCAAACTCGTGGAGGTCTGCATCATTGTGCTGATTGCGATGCCATTTGCAGCCGTGATCATCCTGCCACTCGCTTTCCTATACGCCTTTGTCCAGGTACATTTTCCCCCCAACATTTCAACTCACCACAAATTACTTTTTTTCTTTGAGAGTTTTACGTTCAAGGCGGCTCAGCAAGAGCTGGGTTCCATTACAGTGTATTATTGGAAAGCTCCAGGCTCCAAAACCAACCCTGCTGATTTTGCCATTCACTTGTGTTTTGTTCCCCCACGTGCTGACATAGATGTTACACACGTTCACTATGAATTATGGGAAAGCCCTCAGTGCTCCCTCTTGTTTTCACTCATTAAACATGTGTTTTACTTTTCCACTGTGGGCTACAGAGCTTCTACGTCGCCACATCCTGTCAGCTGCGGAGGCTGGAAGCCGTGAGCCGCTCGCCCATCTACACCCACTTCAACGAGACGGTGCAGGGCGCCAGCGTGATCCGGGCCTTTGGCGAGCAGTCCAGGTTCATTCTGCAGGCTAATAAGAGGGTCGACTTCAATCAGACCTCCTACTTCCCTAGATTTGTGGCCACCCGGTGAGATGATGTGATGATTATAATGTGCATCGCTCAGTTACAGTTCATGAGGGTTAGTGTTGATTCAAAGCAGCAACAGTTGCTGCGATCGCTTTATGTTACATGGTTACACAAAATGACTTCTGGCTTTGGCAATGAGGACACATTTTGGTAGTTGACTGCCCACAGCTGAGCTAAATCAATATTACATCCGCAGGTGGCTGGCAGTCAATCTGGAGTTTGTCGGTAATGGTGTGGTCTTAGCTGCTGCCATTCTCTCTGTGATGGGAAAAGGCACCCTGAGCCCAGGCATGGTTGGTTTGGCTGTGTCACACTCCCTCCAGGTAAGAGGCTCTGCCAACAGACACGCTGACACACATTCTCACACAGCAGTTCTGGAGGTTTCCCATTACCCGACTTATTAACGTCAAAGACAGCCAACTTCACATGCACAGCATTGTGGGACTGCAATTGGAGGTTAAACTGGAGAAAGTGGAATATAAATGCATCACTTTGCTCAATCAGCAAATGCATTTTTCAGCACAGGAAAGAATTAGATTTAAAGTGAACCTCAGTGTGTTGGATATTTTGCAGGTGACTGGAATCCTGAGTTGGATTGTGAGGTCCTGGACTGATGTGGAAAACAACATTGTGTCTGTGGAGAGGGTCAACGAGTATGCTGATACCGCTAAAGAGGTGAGTGTTCCCTCCACACCCACACAAACAAATCACAGCTCAAAACACTGAATCCAACACTGTACAACACAAAGGCTTTTCTTCTTCACTACTCACCCTTTCTTATTGTCTCATTCAGGCGAGTTGGAGTATTGAAGGCAGCTCCTTGCCCCTGGCCTGGCCCCAGAGAGGCACTATTGAGTTCCAGGACTACGGGCTGCAGTACCGTAAAGGACTCGAGTTGGCTCTGAAGGGCATCACCTTACAAATTCACGAAAGAGAGAGGGTGAGTCATCTCGTGGGATAAAAATATTTTTACCCATCTTAAGCCTGGATGGCTTAAATTGCTTGAGTTATGTTATACATACATTCTGACTAAAAACCTGTTTTTCAGGTTGGAATTGTGGGTCGGACGGGAGCGGGGAAGTCCTCACTTGCCCTGGGAATCTTCAGGATCTTGGAGGCAGCAAAGGGAAAGATCTTTATAGATGGAGTCAACATCGCGGACGTCGGACTCCATGACCTCAGATCACGCATTACTATCATTCCTCAGGTGCGACAGTAGTAATAACAGAATCTGAGCCTTGGCTTTCATCATATAAACTCTTTGCATTAGCTGCAATCCGTATCCAAGCCATTCTAAATTATAATAATTGTGTTACCAGTCTGGACCGTGTGGCGATGAATAACATCTGCCGTCCTCTCTCCCAGGACCCCGTGCTGTTCTCAGGCTCCCTCCGAATGAACCTCGACCCATTTGACATCTACACAGATGAGGAGGTGTGGAGGTCACTGGAGCTCGCTCACCTCAAAAACTTTGTCTCTAATCTGCCTGACAAACTCAACCACGAATGCTCAGAGGGAGGAGAAAACCTCAGGTATACAGATACGACTCACTATACTGTATATAAACCACTACCCATTGGTTTGCTAGTCAGTAAACAAACTTTATTACAGGGATATCCGCCCAAAGTTTCATGAAACATACCGGACAGAATCTGATATGTGATTCGATGCCTCTCCTCTGTCTGTAGTCTGGGTCAGCGCCAGCTCGTGTGTCTGGCCAGAGCCTTGCTGAGAAAAACCAAGATCCTGGTTTTGGACGAGGCGACAGCTGCTGTGGACCTGGAGACAGACACGCTCATCCAGTCCACGATTCGCACACAGTTTGCAGACTGCACCGTCCTGACCGTTGCTCACCGCCTTAACACCATCATGGACTACACCAGGTACATTATAATCTACTGAGTGGTCAATATTTTGGGGTATTTAGTGGACTGACAGAAAACGAATCAATGATAAGTTGGACTATTAATCAGTCATTTTAAGAAGTGTTCAAGTAAAATACCAAATATTTGATGGTTACAGCTTCTCCGACGTGGGGATTTACTGCTTTGATGTTTTTCATATCACTTAACTTAAATACATTTGGACTTTTTTTACTGTTGGTCAGACAAAACAAGCAATGTAAGGCATTACTTTGGACTCTGGGAACCTGTAATGGGCACATGACAGTTTATAAACAAAATGATTAATGAAAGTTAAGTTAAATTAAGACATTCATTCTTAATTGCAGCCCTACAACCCACATTAACCGTATACTAATCACAGTTATAGGCCTAGCCAACCCAAAACCCACAGCTTTACTACACATATAAATGTTAGATCAGGTGTAAAAAAATAAACGCTGGATCTAAAAGACGTCTTCCTCCTTTTTTTGCCGCTTCGCAGAGTGATCGTCATGGACAGAGGCCAAATTTCAGAGATGGACTCTCCAGCCAACCTGATCGCACAGCGGGGACAGTTCTACCGAATGTGCCGGGAAGCCAGGCTGGTCTAAGTCTTCAGTGGGCTTCGTACTACGGAGCCGGTGTCCAGGTGTATACAGATGTGGAATCTTATTTGTGCGGCTCTGCAGCACACGTAAAATCGTGCCGTTCCATCCAAGCTTTGTGGCAGCTCGAAGCTGCTCTCCACGAGGGCATTGTCAATGAATCCCAAGAGCAGCTGCTGACGCAGTCCTTATATGTTGGTTTTTAACACACAGACATGCGGTCCTAAAGACATTATTAACCTCCGATGATGAACATTCAGAAGAAAGCTACAGTGGATTGTTGAGAGTCTCCAAGCTATAGATATTGTATATAGAGTAGTGGAGTCAGTTCATTCAATGTAGAGATTAAACCCAGAGCTACAAGCTAAGACTATATCAAATCTTAAGGATTTACATTCTCTTCTTGAATGGGAGCGATAGTATTTTTGTAGTTTTGTAAGTGTTATAAAGCACATGATATATTTTCTGATGTTGTCTCAGGCTTAAACGATGTTTACTCGTTTGTTTGTTTTTTAGCCTTGTATACCAAGAAAGAGGCAATTTTGTAATTGTAAACTGATAGAAGGTTATTTAGTCTTCTTGCCCCAGAAACTGGGACAGGAAATACTCTGACACACTAACCTTCAAAAGGTTCACCACGGCAAACGCAGAGGAAGTGAGGTTTTAACTGCCTTCGAAATCTGAGCTGGAAGCAGCCAATGTGGAGTTTTTATATGTCAGGGAAAAGAGGAAAACATTGAAGTGAGCCAAGACAGAAGCAATCTACCAACTATGTTGTGGCTGCTGTTTATTTCTGTCAAAGTAAACACATAAAAAAAAGTCAACAGAGACCTCGCTGGTCGGATTCAACCTGACGTCGGTAGTGAAAACCACCATGAATGAAGAGAATGCCTCTTCCAAACAATGGTGATGAATCTGTGTGATTGTCACTCTGCCTCCACCACACAACTCAGGCCATACGCAGAGAAGCATTGTTCTGATGGTGCTGACATGACAGACTGTAAATAGTCCACGTTGACCTGTTTTGACTTTTTAAAGAGAAGAGGCATTCACTGTTTTTGTCTTACTGGTTTAGACAATATATTGTAAGAGGAATCCTATTTATGTCATATGACAAAATGTATTAAGTGTCCTTAAGATTTTGGATTGTATTATATTTATACTTTTTATAACAAGCTTGTTCATTTTTTCACTTTTACTGTTAATATACTGTCTTGTTCCATACATCATGCTGAATAATAACGTTTTATTTGAGTCTACAATGTCTTCATGCTTGAATTCATGTCCCTGCAAATGAGTGTTTGGGGAAAATATCAATAAACGGGGGACGTAAATCTCTTTTTACAATCTTATTACCCTGATGAGGAACACGCACGGCAGACCGGATGTGATGTTTGGGGGGGGGGGGGTCTCATTTAGTTGCAGTTACACATCCCCGCCACTAGATGGCAGACGCGTATGTTATGAACGGTGGCAGACAGACGGTTGTTTACACTTGTTGCAATGGCGACCGTCACTGAACTGAAGTGTGGTAAGCGCTCTCTATCATTTGTCTACAACGTTACTTATTATATTCTTAACTGGAATAGATACACGACACGTCATTTTACTGCACGTGTAAGTCAAATTGTTTGTTAGCACTGGTAAGCTAACGTTAGCTTGACTACAACACGTCGTTTGTATCAGTCTCCATTCAAAAACCCAACAACTGTGAGAGCTAAGCGAGCCTGTTGTCCGCAGTTTGACGCCATAAAGTGACCCAATGTTATACCTACATGTAAACACAACCTATGTGCCACGCGAGTCTTGGTTTTTAGGGATTTCACACACAGCTCGCCAATTTCTAACACTTAACGTTGACCAGGTCTACGGTACGTTTGTCCTCGCAGAAGACGTTTGTAGGAATAAACGATAAAGTAATCCCGTAATGTCTCAGCCGTGAGGGACACGCTGGAGTCCCGTGGTGTGCTGGGCCAGCTGAAGGCTCGTATCCGGGCAGAGGTGTTCAGCGCCCTGGATGACCAGCGTGAAGCTCGTCCGCCGCTGTCCCACGAGAACCTGCTCATCAACGAGCTCATCCGGGAGTACCTGGAGTTCAACCAGTACCGACACACCGCGTCCGTGCTGACAGCAGGTGGGCGGAACAGATTAACGTCACAGCACAACTGGTGTTTTCTTTACAAACTGTGCAGAGGAAGGCTTTATGCAAAAGCAGCAGATTAAAGACTCTTATTTAAACGTGAAACCTAATCAGTGGCTATTGTAGAGCAAAGTGCACAACTTCTACACTCAGCTGTGTTTGTGTTCTCAGAATCAGGCCAACCTGATGTTGCCTTGGACAGGCAGTTCTTGGCGAATGAGCTGAAAGTCACAGAGGATGCGAGCTCCAAGTCTGTGTAAGTGCTGAACAGTCTGCTGTCCAACACACACTCTCTGGGGGAATAGTCAGTTATGTTATAACCAACATGTTCCAACTGTCAATAATGTCAGCATGTCCCCACCATTGCTTTGGAAAGATTAGCACATTTGCAGTCTGGCTTGTGTCTCTTATATATATATACGTTTCTTTTTACTTATCTCTGTCTACCATCAGGGAAAACTGAAAAATACATAATTGTAATAATTACTGGTAAGTCTCTTGGACAGAGAGAGTACCAATGTAACCAAGATGACCTGGGTTTTATGGCCCAGGACTTTACTCTGCCTGTGCTAAAAAATAAAAAATGTTTACTACAACTTACGTTTCTTCACATTTACTCTTCCAGACCTCTCCTCTATGGCTTGATGTGCCACTTCGTGAGCAGCAGTGATGCTGGTGGGAAGGTGTTTCTGCGGGGGGCCTCTCTGCCAGCTGCTACTCCTGCCAGCAGCACTGGACCTGGACCTGATGCCTAACACTTGATGCCCCAAGTAGTGCCACAGGAGGGACTAAAACGAAGCCTTTACAGACTCTTTAAGTGACAGAATCTTATTGTTCATAGTGTTTCACTGGTGTAATCGACAGGCGTTGACTATAGGAAATCTGCTGGTACAGATGCTCAAATTCTTTGTGTTGATTCGTGCCAATGATCCCAGATGGCCTTTTTGTTTGGCTTTGAATATCTGGTCACGGTGCTGCTTGCATTAATCCAGGTTTCTCATTGTCTTGAGACAACGTTCCTTGATGTCTTCTCTATTTTAATTCACAAATGTTTTATACTTTCATCTTGTCTCTTTGTTGTCTAAAATTAAATGTTTTATATTTATTTGTTTCATTGAATCAAAACATTTGTGTAAGTGCTATTTAATTGGCTACCACACGGTGGCAGCTTCTCCTAAAACAAGGATGAAGGTTGCTGTTGCTGAAGCCTCACAGCCTCTCTCTATGTGGTGTTGTGCATAAATACAGAGTCCTCTAACAAGATTAAGATGCTGGTTAGAGGGATTTTACTACATATATGTTTATTTTAAACATTTGTAAAGTGTATCGCTTGTAATCACACCTGTATTTGCAGGTACAGTTGTTACTTTTGAGCATTAGCTTTCTGCAGTGCAGTTCATCACAGCATTGAATAAGCAGCGGGAGGTTTCTAAAGTCACACTAAGCTACTTTCCTGTTATTGTCTCCACATTGTGGTGCTCATTGTGTCGGTCTGTGCAGCATGTTGCCCCGGCCCCAGTACGACTCGACCCTTTTCTGTCCGTAATAGTCAGAGACCTCATTAAGATGTTTCTCACATAGCTGATGTTCCACATGTTTATGCTTAGATGAAGAGAAAATCCTCCAAATATGTTTTATAGCTACGCTCCTGCTCGTTCACCTCTTTTGCTGTGTTGTCTGCAGGGACTGTGAAGTCGTCATGATCTCCTTTCAGCCACTCATAAAAGATAAATCAACAAAAGCATGTATACAATAAAGGAACAAGACACATAAAGAACAACCACCATAATGTGTCCCGTGCTGGACACATAAACATCTTCCGCAACAAGCCCATGCTCTTTGCATCTCATTTCCTCTCTCACCATTTATGGGAACTTGATGCTCTTATCACGACTTAAAGTCCTGAGTTTCTGGAACTGATTATCTGCGGAGGCCAGCCATCTATTTCCCAGCCTCGTCACGTAGTTGAATATAATCCATGTCTAAATTATTTTTAAACTTTTTTTCTGTCTCCTCGACCATATCTGCATCTCTCAGTCTTGATTTTGGAGTCTTTGATAGATGAGATCACATAGCTCTCAAATAAGCTCATTGACAGAATCAGGTCAGAACGTGCCGCACACACACTGTGTATTTCACTGAATTTACCCGAGCCTCTGATAAGTGTGAGTTGCTCGCTGTAACGACGAAATGTAACCATTTACCATCAGCGAAGCTTCTTGCAACACGATGTAACGCACACTTGACTTCATACAGCGTCCTAGTTTATTGCTTCTTAGTCCAATTAGAAACCATGTGCTGTTGAGTGCATGTGCAGTCACAGCGAGCCTCATCTGGGACATTTGATTTTACATTGCTCCATTGGAGCAAACATTTATTTGCCCTTAAAGGCTTGTTGCCCTGAGGCGCCTAGTTTATTGGCACCGCATATCAGCGTTCCCTTGAAAATGGCTATATAAGCGGAGGAAGTTGAACAATGGCACATGGTTGTTCAATTGGCAGGTTGCCCTATAATAGGTAGCATTTCTCCTGCACTGTATAAATTAGTGGTGTGTAAAAGAGACAGCTGTATAAATACTACTGAATGCAGTGGTCTTTGGACTGCAGCAGAGTGAACTGATGTTTGCTCCTGGGCTCAAATTAGAAAGCAACTGCATTCCACGAGGGTCAAACATATCCATAAACATATTTTCTCTCCAATAGATGGCCATCTATGGACATGAAGGTGAAGAAAGAACATTAAACGTACTGTATGTAAGAGATCTCTGCAAGTTGACGTTGCTTTTATTGTGTATTCATTCTACCACATCGTGTTGAGGAACAGTCCACATATACGCCGTCAACTGTTGCCGCTGTGGCTGCTTTAGTGGTGAACCGCATTAACATGAGTCATGGAACTTCAGTCATTTGTTGCATAAGTTTATTTGCAATCGTGCACAACAGATAAAATCAATATTTCATTTAGATTTATTCAGTGTAATTCTGATTCACTGACTATTGAGTTAACCACTCTTCACCCAGACTTTCTACCCATGCCCTCTCCCACCCACTTTTCATAGGTTTACACATCTGAGGGATTGTTTAGAGTCTATTCTTTGTCTCAGACAACCAGGGGAAGATGAATGTTCTGGCCAAAGTTTAGGACGGACTCATTTTGTCAGCACACAGTGCCCCCATACCTTCACATGAACCCCTCCTTTGCATGGATCACCGTACATCACATTAAAGAGACATTTACAAGTGATCTTTGTAATGATCCTACAGTGTACCTGTGGGGATTAGAGAGACAAGAGGTTCATACCACAACCGGAGAAATCTACACTAGTCTTCCCCTTAGACGGAGAGAATGTTGCGTTGATGTACGATATCGATAAACCGTTTGTGTGTCTCAGGTAAAGAATCAACTTTGTGCGTTTGAACAATGCTGTTGCTGCTGGACCATATTTAGTCACCGGGGCTCGGGGTGCTTGACTGTGCTAGACTTGTGAGAGTAACACAGAAAGCTGCCGAGATTCCATACAGACCCCACTGTCCTTATATGGCACAGACTGCAACCTCTCTGTTCAGTGTATCTGCTGCTTTGTCTGCCTCTCTCCTCCTCCTCCTCGTCTCGTTCTTCAGCCCTCCCTCTCTCTGCCTTGTCTCTCACCCTGTCTCTCTCCGAGTTTTTCAACTCTTGCTTTTCCTTCGTTAACACCACCCCACCTCCTTGATGTTGGCCAGGGGGAGACGGAGGTCCTCCATGTTACTTCTTTGGTCTGTCACTAGGTTTCACACACACACGCATACACACACATACACACACCACCAGCACAGTACCGTGCGTCTGGCATAAAACAGGCCCTAGGCTATCAACCAGCAGCTTGATTTATTGGAGCAAATAGATCGGTGTCCTTATATAGGAAGTTCCATTGGAAAGAAGCTGGAAACAGGAGGGATGCAACGGGAGAGGGGAGGAGGGAGGTCGAGCGGTTTGTGATAGTGGAATGCGTTGTGCGTAACGATAGAAGACATGCCTTGGCTGCACACAGACATTCAGCTGGTAACTTATGAGTTGTTTTATGGAGGGGGACCTCTCTGGAGTGGTTACAGCAAAGGGGGATTCCTGTGCTGGGGACAGCTTGCCTTATGAGGAGTGGGGACAGATTGCATAATCTATAAACCCTACAGGGAGCTTGCAGCCACTCCGTTTTAGTTGTTGTGTTTCCATCACGTTGTTGTGATGCCTTTTAGTTGTTGTTTTTAACCCATTACTTTACCTGAGATGTTCCTGAGCACAGCTAAAGACTGCTAAACACAATACCCATGTTTTGATGGGGTTTACAAAACTTTCATGTGGAATCTATGAGGAAAAAAATTACTCATTATACCTTTTTACACAGAAGAAACTTGAAGATGTCACAGTAGCACAGGTGTAATTAACGACAGTAACGATGACAGTGCATCCATCTTAATGTGATTAGTAACACCTGCGCTTCTCCTACTATGAAACTGTTACTATTACAAGTATACATTCAAAATGTTACCAGAGCTAAAGTACAAAGGTGTTACCAGCTAAATGTACGTAAGTACAACAAGTACCCCAGCAGCACGGTGAACCTAGCTGTGATATATTATCACATGTCGATTATTACTGATGCATTCTCATGTCAGCAGCATTCTAAGCTAATTTAATCACAATAATCTGTCATTTATGACACACTTTGCGAATCTAATATTAATCTGGAAAGAAGTAGCTCGTTAAGTAAATGTAGTGGGAGTAAAAGATGTTAAATCAAGTGCAACTAGCTTACATGTAAACAGACAAACATAATGTCCTTATGGAAGTGCCCGTCCATTAAAAGCATTTGAGGAGAGAGCATTTACGTTCAATTATGTTTTTTATTCGTTATCAACATTTTATCAGCAGGACTCTCCATTCAACACCTCTTCATTCACATCCTTCCTGCCGGGGTCCGCAGTGCGCATGTCCTCTCCTCCTCCTGCCCCGCTAGTGGATGCTGTCTGTCTGCCTCCGGACGATTCTGGAGGGAGGAGGTTCAGCTCGTGCAGCTCCACCCTCGCGCAACTGTGCGCAGTTTAAATGGTAAGGCTCTGAATTTGACGGGTGTCATTTGGACAGTTCGTTTTTGGAGTACCTCGTCAACGCCTGCCGCTCCAGACGCTAACTTTCCAAACCCAAAGCTCCCCGAACACACGTTTCTTCTCATTGTGTGAGTATATGTTTCTGTGGAGTGTCGTTCTCCAGGTGGTGATGCTGCAGTGCACTTGTCCAGCCGCACCCCTCTACACCTTACCTTAAACTTAAGGAATTCAAGTTCTTAATTTGTTTTACTGTTTTAAAATGATAGCTTTAAACAGTGAACATGTTGCAAAGATAATTTAATAGGAATTTTGACGTACAGGTATACAATGTGTTTTAGAAAAGTATCAGCTTTAGCTTATTAGCTTACATTTTTGACAGCTTGTCTATGTTTGTGATTTGCATCACTTCTGTGAAGTTACTAACTGAAGAAAATGAGACCAAGCTGGTGCTCAGGTCTACAGTACAGTATGCATTTACTTTAGTAACACTTTCAATTCATACAGAGCAACATTTGTGTATTTAATCAAGTGTATAAGATAACTGTTGTGAACACTTCAAATCATGCTGCGTTCACTGCACCACGCTGCAGTTTGTAAGGAAGTAAGGGGAAGTTATGTCTGAATATCTCAGTGAAGAAATGGGTACGACCCTAACCATGGAGTTTCATGTTTTCCAAATGTGGTTTATAAAGCTGCCTGTCTGTCAAACAGCTGAAACTGTTGTGGCTGAAGATGCAGACATAGTAGTGAGAACTGACACCAATGAAACCATCAGTGGTGGTTTGCACCGAGTGTATTTAATATTTCTTATAAATCTGGTTTCATTTTATTCTCAGTTCTCTCTCTGTAGTTGTGTACATTAATGGCAGTGATGTCCAGATTCGCCTCCCTTTGTTAGTCTATGTAATGTTCATCAGCTCCACCCCCCCCCGCTTTAACTTCATCACACTGACGAGGACTTTCACTCCCCAGGAAGCAGACTTCCAGGATTGCCCTCCAGAACATGATAAACTGGTTTAGACACAGATGCCCGCATTGTGAAAATACCAAAATTTGGCTGCCATATTTCTATTTAAATAGACAGTTGAGTCTGAGGACCTTTTCTCTAATGGGACAAACCAAGTGTCGTCATTTGTCTATTTTAGTCTTCATGATTTAATTATTTTCATGCTGTAATCCTAATCATCATGAATGTATTATTAAGAAGATGATAACAGGGAGAATGTTTGTACAGCCAAGAGAGGAAATGAGTAAAGTCCTTCAGAGGCCCTGCTGCTCAACCTCGTTCACACACTAACAGAAATAGCTCACTTAGTCTCCTGGGTGACATCTCCACTTCTTTATTATCATTTTAAATAAATATTCTAAAATAAAGTCATTGTTTTTGGACACATAGATTTGTATCATGTTGTTCTTCTTTGTGTTTGAGAATCGAGGGCCAACATCTCACTGAACTAAGCAGATCAGTGACTTTTGTGCCAAATATTGTGAGTTAAAATGGACATTTTCAGTAATGTATGGTATGACTGTGAACACAGTAGTTATAATGGAGTATTGGTAGTTTAGTCTCGTGGCAAATGATGCATGTGATGACAAACAGGGCTTTGTGATCCTTACCATTTCAGTCAGTCTGTATCAACCTGCTATCTTGTCAACTCCACTTCAGACAGCTGTCTTCAAGATACACTGGCTGAGTACAAAGCTGTGCTGACAGAGAGAGCGAGAGGAGGCTTCACAGACGCAGTAAGCCACAGTGGTGAGGAAATTTAAAGGGGTTAAGGAGGAAGGCTTTGATTGGCTGCACATACTCGAGCATCGGGTGGAGAGACAGGAAAAGTCTGTTTACTTTTATCTGCAGAAAAAGCTAATCATCAAAGCATCAGCTGGTCGTTTCCTCAGAACCGTGCTCAGCTCACTGGAGTTTCTCAACAAATAGGAAGTCTGTCTGTCTCCCGTTAATATTCATGCGATATATTTCAGTAGTTTCTGGGTGGTTTGGTTTCGCTGGTCCTTTGGGTACATGTATAGGCTTCATAGGCTCAGCGGCTTTTTTACATAGTTCCCACTCAATTAAAGTGTATGCCCGTCACTTAGGGATGGAGAGGGTGAAGCAACAGCCTGTGGACATGAGTGACTCATTGTCTGTAATCCAGAAACCATTCAGCTTTCTACTCACTAGTTCAAATGTAGTATTAGCCTCACTGAACCAGTTTAGTTTGGTTGCACATTCAGACAAAATGGTGCAGAATATGCTGATATATTTCAAATATTTGCTACCATGCTGTCTTTTTTACTTCAATAGAGTTTGGTTAAAGTGCAATTCCTACACTTTTGCATTTTACAGTACTTCCCACTGCAGGAACTTCTCCCAGACACTTGTTCATAGTTTAGACGCTGCCTGTCGCCGGGGACCCATATGAAGCATGATTGTTAAAGCCCCGTCCCCCCTCATGCGCTCTGCCTCGCTGTTATCATTTTGAAGTAAACGACAAGGCCAGCAAGAGACATACTATTCCCTATATGGGCTTTGTTTGGGAGTTCACTTGCCTTGCTGTTTAGGTCCGCAGAAAAAGAGTCCTGCTCCAGAGAAGGGGCCCATATATGGTCATCACAGCACGAG